ACGTTTAAAAGTAACTTTTTAGTTTTAGAAGCAACTTCTTTTTTCACAAAAGTACTGTCAAAGACCCTTGGTATATTAGATCGGACGTGATTAAATAGCAGAGCAGTACTTTGACAAAAGTTAATTAAAATAGTATTACTTGAAAAACCATGTTGAGTCCAAGAAATTTAGGAATCTTGAAATTGAAATGATCCCTGAGTTTATTTTTCAAGTGAGATTTTTCTTTATATTTTATGGGCAAAAATTAAAAGCAGAAGTACATCTTTCTACAACTTTTTTTCCATTCCTTTCAAGTCAATTGTTTTTACTAAGCAAAAGAGCCCTTTCATGATCACACAAGTGTGTAAGTTGGAATGGATAATGTTTGATTTAATTGGGGACGTATGCTATAAGAGACTTCAATTCAATGAAAGAGTTTATTTGGTACATAATATTAAATCGATTAGAATTTTAATTTTTTAGATTGCTCTATTATAATAATGAATTCGATTGCTTGGATTAACTTTTGACTAACAAGAGATAGAAGGAACCATCAAATCGTGAATCGTCAGTGACGGAGGTGGAATTGCTTACCACTTTTTGGCGTGTGTACACGCTCCGACAAGCGCACATAGCACTTTGCCAAGAACATGTCCCCCCAAGTTGAAGATTGACACTCACTTTTCAACAGTGTGATCGCCTCCAATAAACAATCCTGGCACTCGCTCGTATTCAAATCCTGTACACACTGTGCTATACCTTGTGCGTTTCCGGACCCACCAATTCGAAAATACTGCCCACCACCCGTTAGATATGCCAGCAATGCATCTCTCTGAGTCAACACATCCGAGTCAAACCCAATCGGCGGCCCACACCTCTTGAACACAACAGTCTTATCCTCGTCACCCAAGAATGACGTTTTCTCGTACTTCACGAAACACCCATCCAACTGCAACACGCCACCCGACGCGCCACCGCAGAGGGTTCCAATTTGACTCACTGCGTAGGTCACGCAGTCGTGGCAGTCGGAGTTACTGAGGTCTCCACGGCACTGGAAGAGGCCGTAAACGACGTCGGTGCCCGGGAAGGAAATATTGAAATTGTTGTAGTTTGAGAAGGCGGCTGAGTTGACTAGGGATGCGAGGATTGAGTTGACGTTCGACTCGTAAGGCGTACCCGGGTTGTATTTGAGCTGAGAACAACCAGCATACACGAAAGATTGTAGTGCAGAAGTTGAAGGGTGTGCAAGAAATGAAAAAACTAGAAGATAACTACAAATAGATAATACAGAGAACATTTGTTGTGCATGCATGTTCATTTTCCCCAGAATTTTTTTTGTGTGTGTGCGTGTGTCTGTGTACAAGAGAGAGATGGGATTATAATGTGCGTGTGTGCTGGGGCTACCCCGGGTTGCGGGGTAGGGGATAACATTGAAAATTAACGAAGAAACAATCTTTATTTTTATACATCAATTACAAATTATGAAGTTTATACGATTGTGAGAATTTTTACATTTCTTTTCATACTTTATTATTAATATGTCAAAAAAAGTTGATCATTCTAGATAAATATAAATTCGTATCAATTTTTATATAAGAAACGATTTTTCAAAAAGATAGGTTTCGCTACCGTTCATGTCAAACATCTCTTAACCTTATCTTATTCAGTATGAAAGGATCTAAAGAAGTCGATCAGATTTAAACTTAAACTTCAATTAAAATTGACCCGGATGGTTAGGACAAAAAAATGTCCGCCTCTATAGAATATGTACCATGTCATGTGCTTTACGGTGTAATTGAGACGAAAATACAGAGAAAAGAAAGGCCTACAATTTTAGCCCCCGTTTGACACCCATTATTTTGAAGAATGAGTTTTTGAATAGTGATTGATGTAAAGAATGTGTGGTTAAAAAGTAAGAAGAATTTTTGAATTTATGTGTAATATTATTTTATTTGAAGAATGTGT